ATGGCAAATCCAAGAGTCTTTGGCATTGCTACAGTGATACATTTTTTTTGTAATCAGTTCATCAATTCCGTTATTATTTAAATCAAAAAGACTTACATATTATAAAATATAATTAAATACATTTATTACATTCTGAGTTCATATAACTGGCTATCCTCGATAGGAAAAAAAACGTTCGACCAAAAACGTATAATATTCGATTAAATATAAACTAAAAATGATGAATATTATTTGGGTTTGAATATTTCTGAAGATAAGTTTGATTAAAAGATGAGATTTTGAACAGTTTATATTATCCAAAAACAATGAATATGTGTAATCCGCATCAGTGACTATTAAACCTATGCAACTATCATAATTTATTTTAAAACTATCCACACATAATTTAAAAATAATTAAGTTTAAACGCATCATCGTTATTCGTGACATTATAAGTATAAAAAATAATTTCATAATATAACTTCAAACCTAAATCATAATTTTGAAATAGGTAGTTTGGATTTGTGGAATTATTCTAGTAACAAATTGTTAAATAGTGAAGTATAAAATGATGGTATTATTTTAAATGCATATCGAACAATTCAAAAAAACCTATTTATCAGAATTGATCTAAATTAATTGTCTGTTTATATTTTTAGATTTAATTTTTGTTTGTCTGATGACCATATACATTAATTACCCGAAAACAATTAGCATATGTCATCCGCACGAGTAACTATAATTAACCATCCATTTAAAAATCATTTAAAGCGGTTGAGTGCTTATCTAAATAATAAAAAAATTTGGCCCAAGTACTACACTGTCAATAGGTTTGCCACAGTTGATTTCATATTCATTACCCAGGTACATATACTATAGTCTTATAAAAAATTACTTTTTGAGTCATCCGATTGCTTCACAACAGTTACGAACTATTTCTTTAATTACAAAATCAAGCTCAACATTTTTTTTAAATTCTTTATGGTCCGTGGTGTCAAAATCTTTAGTCAAAATCCATAAAACTGCAATTTATTGTTTCGTTGCAATATTGTCGAGTGCATCATAAATACATTTAGATACACTATTCATCGATGCATCACCAACCACAATAATTGTTGCTAAGCCGAATCTAAATTTGTATTAATTTTTTGAAAGAAGCTGAGCTATAATTTGATTAATAACACCGATTTGATAGTTTTTTCTAGAATCTCGAATCTCGATGAAATTGTAAATCATCGACGTCAGTCCATAACAAATGTACCTATTAGTACTTAAATTGGTTTGTCCCATTTTTAAAAAGTAGCTTAACGTTATTTTATAATGCGAGGAAAATATTTCTTCTTTTATACTTTCTTAAAGGATACTTGAATGAGGCTATATTTTTTTTAAGTTATAATGACAAATTATCAAAACCCGATGCTATTTCTTCCTTTAAAGTATTTATTAGTTCAATCACAACGTTTTTATCAACAAACTCAATAAAATAATGATAAAAGTTTTTATTTTAATGAGAAACAATGACTTCCATATCAACAGATTGTGAAAAATATTTTGACATGTTTTTAACGATCATTGTAAAATACTTATTAAAAATAAAATATTATATGCATTATTTGATTTTGTTGGTTCGTTTTGAAAGCCTGTGATTTTTTCTTTAAGTATTCTTTAAGTATTATATAAATTTCTTATTCACGTTTTTCATACCTGTAGTTCAATTTATTAGTTTCAAAGACCATTTTGAATTGTGTGACAAGGAACTAAATTAGTTTATTAAGATTTACTAGAAAATTACTTTATTTCAATTTAATATGGCTTGATAATTACCTTATTAGGTAACATATGGTTTCAAATGTGTTTTTTTCACTTTTTATGAATATTCAATTTTTTTCCGGTGAAATACAATACATCTGTCATCATTCATTGATCATTTTTTAATTCTATTATTTTGAATCACATTTTGTTTACTAAAACAAGTTATAACAATAAACCTACCTATTATTATATCATACAGTTTTTTTACTCAAATATAAATATTTTTATTTCCAACATCATAATAATATATATTATATATTGTCTCTTATTTGTTTGAGACCTGTACTAAACTGTAATTAATATGACTTGAGGTATTACTATCTGTTTTATACATTTTAGAAGTAGTTTGAATTCAAGTTGTCATTGAACTTAGATCTGTGAATCGTACAGTATTATGACCTGTTTTTTTTTTTAATGTATGGCTTGAATCAATTTTACCACAAGTCCACAACACTTGATAAATGCATGATCTGTACACGAGTGTGATTTGTTCATTGGAAGTCCTACATATTATACATTAATATGTAATATCAAAAATGTCATCATTTTCGTTCTCATCATTAAGCGATTTATAATTGCTTAAAATATGACTTAATCGAGCCGAAAATGCATTAGCACTTAGTAATGGTGACTTTATTATACAGGGTGATTTGTTTAAGAAGGTGCACTAATTATTTCAAAAAGTATTAACAGTTTTTGAATTTTTTTTTTTAACTTTTAGATTCATGTTTTTCTAAAACTACATGATATTTTTATTTTTTTCACCCTTACATTCATTGGTGAAACCACTATCAACTTTTGATTTTCAAATGGGAACATATGATAAAAAGGTCATAAACTGACAAAACTATTTTTTTTATGAATTTTCCCAATAAAAGTTTTATTTTTCGTTATTTGGTTCGCAAGGTGTGGTTAATTAAAGTTTGGTGGTATAAGGTGGTGTTATAGTCGGTAGTGCTTCAAATATCCAGCTGAATAACTGGAAAAATAACTAGTTTTCTTCTAATCAATCGTCGCAATTCGATGTGTATAATGAGTCGATAGGCTTATAAATGATTTGGGTCAAAGTAAGATTGTTAACATTTATCAATTATTACCCTGGGTTGAACGGTATCGAATTCATCACTTATAGATCCTGGTCCTTAAATATGAATAAAATGTATAATGACACCTCCTACCAAACTCTGAGGAGCTGTATCTCACAAACGAAGAAACGAAAAATAAAAATTGTAATGCTAATATTCATAAATAAAATGGTTTTATACATTTATGACCTTTTTATCATATGTTCCCATTTGAAAATCAAAAGTTGATAATGGTTTCACCAATCCATTTAAGGGTGAAAAAAATTAAAATATTATACATTTTTAGTAAAGCATAAATCTAAAAGTTTAAAAATAAAAAAATTCAAAAACAGTTAATACTTTTTGAGATAATTAGTGTACGCTCTTAAATGGATCGCCTTGTATACCTACATGGAAAATTAAATAGTCATTTTCACGATATTTCGTTAAGAATTAGATGGAAAATATAGACAAAGTGATTTTGGTTTTTTTTTAGAAGCAATGGGCAATTATTTATAATATAGTGACACTCTTTGATTAATACCATTACGTATAATAAATTAAAACTAGTATATTGCTTGACTATCAAAATATGGCAACAACACTTTTTATATTGATAATATCATTATTTTTATATCTATATATTTATATATACATAACAACAAGTAGTTATACGAATAATACAACCATTAAGTGGTTTATCATTTTTATAATATCATATGTTTGAGCCAAAATGTCATTATCATTTGTTGATGGTAAGTTGCCTATGAGCACCTATAAAAAATTAATCAAAAATTTACATAATTTTCAAGTGTTTATTTAATGATATAAGTTTCCCACATCCATATTCAATCAAAAAATTCAAAAGAAAAAAATGTTTAGCATAATTTAATGACACCATGATTTTGTTTTTTTTCGAAGAAGAAGAATAAATGAGCAATAAGCATAATTTACAAAAGAAAAAATTACTTAAGTTAGCAAAAACGCGTTTTATAGGTACTGATAAAAATTTCATTTAAATGATTTTTATTTATTTTCATACAAATTAAATATACATAATAATAAGTAAACGAATAATAATATTAATAAGTGATTTATAATTTTTATTATATAGTCGAGTCACAATAACTCGAAGCTCGAGGTAGATAAAAAATGGATTCAATTTATATATTATTTCAGATGCCTAACCCGAATTTAATCTCACCTAACCTTACCTCAAGAGAAAAAAATCAAGTTGTCAAGTGTTTCGAGTTATAGAGGCTCAAATAATTTTGACTCGACTGTGTCATATAATCGAGCCGAAAATGCATTACCATTTAGTGATGGTGACTGTAATGTAGACGTATAAAGATATTCTAAAGATATTCTAAGTAGATACTTTGAAAATAAAATGGAAATTCAAATGATATTTTGTTGGTAGGTAAGCGTTCATTTAATAATAATATAAGCTTTCCTAATCCAAATTCAACATAAAAAATATGTTGATAAAAAATAATGCCACCTTAATTTTATTTTATTTTTGGTGCCAATTGGCAATAGATAATACAATTACTGAATTATATCCAAATATGAAATAGGCAACAAATTGAAACCAGCAGCGCAGTTTTCAAAAGGTAGATGATCAAAGTCTGCAGCAACAACGATTTTTATATTGATATATACAGTCATATACCTATAGAATTCAGATTACGGATCGTATTTAAACGATTATTTCCACAAAAAAATATATTTCATAGGCACAAAGACGCTCGCATGCGTATAGACAATTGACATAATAGGTTATGGGCACCTGTAGCTGGCGTTCAAGTGGAAAATGTTTGTACATTTTATTAGCTGTTGCGGGGTAAGCAGGTACGCGCAAGAGAATACAAAAGCTACATCATAAATCATGTTTTTTTAATATTATGTTGCGAATGGACAATGGCAATTATTGTTACATTATCTCTTGTATTTACCTAGAGCTCAGTGGCCGTGCAAAAATTGAATTTGCAATAATGCTGCTACACTACGAATATTATGCAGATAACGAATCTCGACGACGTACTCGATACAATAATAATAATAATCATAATCATAATATAAATTGAACAATTCGTGAAATAAGTTCGGATGATGTGTACAGTAGTACGTATAATAGTATAATATTTCCATGTTATAGTATTGTTTATCTATTATTGCACACGGCGAACAGAGAGGAAACTCGCGTATTTCATCGATCTTTCCTCGTGTTTTCCACCCTGTATCAAAGATTACAATTACTAATCTACTTTGTTTTCGATGTGTAAGCTTGCGTATTTCTATCAAGTGGCCTAACCGCAGATAACCAATCTAATTTGTGTACAGGTATCCGGTATATAATAATCAAACGAATACGAATTTATACTTATGACTTCGCAATATTCTGAGTGCTAGGTTGATTCCTGCACAACGAACCAGCGTGTCAAAATCCAATTACTTTTAATATAAAATAAAATCAAATAGTGAAAATCGATATTAGTTTTGTGAAAACGCGAATTTTTTACTATTCCCGTTTTTTTTTTTTTTAGAAAAATGAAGCACAGAAAATTACAATGCCATTTAAAACTTGTGGGTATAGACAACAACAAAATGACTCATATTTATAACTATAATATATAACTCAACATAAATTTATGTTTTGAATCGTATAAACTATTACACTCGTCTTACTTTATATGTTTTGGCACATTTAGATATTCTGTTCCACCATGATGTGCTTCACTCAATTTCTGATTGGCAGTTCGTATTCATTTTCATCTACACTCGTGGCACAACTTCGAGAACCTTCGTCAACAATACATTTGACCGTCGAACAGGAATCTTGGATAAGTACGTGGATTATTGGACATTTGACATAATAATATTACTCTAGCACCTAGGTACCTATATCAAAGATATTGTTATATTTTTTCCAATCATATAAGAACTGTAGCTTTAGGTATTTGAGTAGAAATAAGTTTAAAAATGTATTCAAATACTTTTCTTAGTTTCGAATAGGTGCTTTAATATTGGTTTACTGTCTACGATAATTTTGGATTTATGAAGTAGGTACCTATACCATATCATTATCATATTATGCTACTGAATAACGTATACTATTTATAATTTAGAGTTGTACTTCAGTTTCATACGGTATATATGGCATTAAGTTAGCGAATACGCCCGGACAACTGACTCCGACAAATCGAATACAGCCGAGTCGAGATAACTCGAAAAACTTGACAACTCGTTTTTTTTTATTAATCACGAGGTCGGTTAGTTTAAATTTGAGTTCGGTATCTTGAAGCCATTTTTTATTGCCCTTCAACTTTGAGTTATCTCGACTAGGCTGTGTATTAAATCACGTGCCTATAAAGGTGCTTACCGTGGTACATTATAATAGTTGAGTCCCAAAATAACTCTGAACCAATAATGTAAAAATTGTATTAAAATAAAACTGAATTACCTCCTTCATTATGTCTGTCAAAATAATTAACATTTGCAAGGATCTTTGTCTCTAAATTTAATGTAATTTATTCATCAAATGTTTAGATTCAGAGCACAGCATGATTGGTTAAAGGTACAGTGACGAGTGTCGCTTGTTTTTTATAATAACCTTTTGGGGATGTAAAAATGTCTTAATCTTAAGAGTGGTTTGATAGCAGAAGATTTGTTCTAGTTGGTGCTTTGTGAGAATTAGGGAAAAACAGTAACATTTGTGCAAAAATTTAAAAATCGACGAATGAATAACAATACAGATGGGTACTCTGACTATTCACAAAAAGCTGATATTATTATTCGATCTTAGACCTGATGTTGTTTTGAAAATAGTTTTGCTCTCTTTGATCTTTTTATAGACATTTAATATTATCACCTTTAATTTGTTTTTTAGATGATCAAAATATTAGTATTCTGTTCTAAAATACTTGTTGACAAAGTATTTGAAATACTCGTAAACATTGTCAACTTTAAAATACTTCAACATTTTTAGTTGAAGTATTTGTATCTCTACGCAAATACTAATACAAATATAAAGATGCTTTATACAAGATTACCTCGAACCTATAATTCACTGTTTAAAAATGTAATTATGTTAAGTTGTTTCAATGTTGCAGAATCGTGTTCAACATTTCAAATTAGTAATAGAAAATAAAGAGGTAACTAAAAAAAATTAAAGAAATAAAAAAAAATTAGTAATTTATTTTTATTTTTATTATTTTTATTATTTATACAAGCTCCCTCAACTTCTAGGGTTATTGGTGTTTCTAAAATATGTTACATTTTAATGATTTATTCTAGCATACTATATATTTTTTTATTAGTGATACGGTAGGTTGAAATCAATTTTACGAAAATCTACATCAGAGATATATAATAATAATTAAATATATATTTTCATATATAATTAGGTACTATATAGTGGTCATAAACTTCATCAGATCAATACCAACGTACCAACAAAGACTGACATTAATAAGTTCATTGTAATCTTTAAACAGCTTAAATTTAGTCTAAATATTTTGAAACAAATTGAATTGATAAAATAATAATAATATACGTTATAGTTTAAAGTTCAAGTTCCTTTAAATCATATATTTTTAAACTACGGCATAATAACTAAATCAAGACAAATCGTAATTTTTCCTTTGGATATCCATTTTCGTCTAAATTTCAACTTCAAATAACTATAACAGAATGTTGCACAAGTATTTTTGATATTTTTTAGTTGCCATAAGGAAAACGTTACAAGTAACCTTGTATTACATTTTTAAACATTTGTAATGAAAATTGAAAATGTTATCAATTTTTACAAGATAATTTTTAATTTTGAACGAATTTTGCAGAAATTGAAACAAAAAAATTGTATCTTTATATATTTTAAATGTTATAAAATTAACTGGTGAGGATGTTAGGCTTTCAAGCTTTTTGACGAAGCATCAAAATTGTTTTCAACACTTACAGAAAAAAATTTAAGAAGATCAAAAACGTAAAATGCCTTGAATCAATTTAAAATAATTTTAAATACTGTACAAATTGAGTTGTGTATAGACAATTATTATTTAAGAAATACAGAATGTTTCAAGTTTCTACAAAATATACATTTTGTATTACAAGTATCTTAATAACAATAATCGCTATTTTACTTTTAAACATCGAATGTATAATTTACATTTGAACTTAAAATGCTCATAAAATATTTATACAACCTATCGTTTTTTTTATTATATAGTATCCAATTTTCCGGATTTGTCGTCAAAATTTAAAATTCTGACTCTAATAAAAAGTTCGTACTTTTATTTTCGACATTTTCTCATTTCTATTGAAAAACTTATGAGGAACATTGTATCAGATGTTCATGTTTTTTTAATGGCAGTCAAAAATTGTATCTTAAGTAAAAAAAAAAAGAAATTTAAAAATTGTACATGTCTTCAAAAAGCTTAAAAGGTGTCAAATTTATTGAAAATGCTTTATGTCTCTGCTGCTCTTCATTGAAATGTTTTTTGCATTGCACTATCTAAAAGCAAATATAAATAGAATGATACATAAAAAAAAAACATTTAATAATACATAATATTATATGACTGATCCATCTTTGGACTCTCGACTAATCTCAAGTATCTTCTAAAGTACTGTCCATATCCACTTCAGACATTTTAGGTCATAAATATTAATTTATTATGAGATTATCGTTGATGAATTATCTTTGGAACGTGCTATACATACGTGCTCATACTTTTATCTTAATTTGTAAAAACAGTATCGTTCTTTTTTCAGTAAACAAAATATGGAAATTCCCGTCTATTATTTTTCGTACACGAAATATATAATTGTGTGGTCATTATGTACAATACAAAAAGAAACTACTTTAAAAAAAAGGCTGATTGTATGTTTAAAATATGCCTATTTAGGCTAACTATATATGTTTATAAAAAACTCACTGTAATTTGATTATCCTTTTGAAAAAGCATCTAAATCAAGCAGTGAATAATATACACTAAATAGAAAATAGAAATAAACTATTATTAAGTAAATTTATAGCCAGTTCACGTGGATAACTTTTACCCATTCGCAATTATTCTTAACTTTTATCTCAACTTTAGTTTATAAGAAACTTATAAATACGTTTAAGATTTATTTTAGTAAGTGTTTTAATATTAATATTACTATAATGCTATTGATTTGCAATACAAATGTTTACAATTCATTTCAGCAAGTATTACGGTACTTATATGTCCTATCGGTTTACTCATAATTGGAATTCTAACGGACAAATTTGGTAGAAGAAAAACTATTCAAATTGTCTACGCACCAATGGCTTTAAGTTGGCTAATAATTACATTTGCTGAATCTTATACAGCACTATTGATTGGAAAAATTATACTTGGGATCCCGTTTGGTGAGTTTTCAAATATTTTATTTCTAATATTTATAGTATTACTCATACCTAGTCATAAAAAAATTAATTTCAAAAATATTCGATTACAATATTTGCATTACTATAAAACATGCGTGTCCTGTAGTGAGTCTGATAATTTAAAAAGTTGTTAACTATAGTATTTAAAAAAAACGCTCTATTATATTTTCTATTCGATATTCTAACAAAGATATATCATATACACTATGATTTATTAAGCATGACCGCTCCCCCCTTTTTTTCAACAATTCAGTTTTTCAAAAGCTGATTTTAAATTTACTTTTAGAACCCCCATTTTATTAATTTCTAGCTTTAAAGAAACTATACACTATAAATATATGGCTGGTGACGTAGTATATAATTGACTGTAAAGAGCTCATTCACTCCTAGACTTTCCTAGTCTGAAGTCACCAACTATAGTAAAAAAATGAAAATAACATGCATTCGATGCCTTAAAAAAAATTTTATTTATACATCTCAATATCTCATGCTTGTTTAGCCAAAATCTGTGATCATGAATAGGTACTTCAGTTAGGTGTAATCTTATGAGGCTCATGTTAGGTTATCATAAAGTATTAAAACCACTAAATATACATAATGCATGTTATGCTTATCAGAGTATAGTAATAAAAGTTATTATAATAACAAACTTAAAACAAATGGTTAATATTCAAAAACTATAAACATTTGAACGATAATTGTTATGAATTAATAACCTATTTTACCATCAATAATCAATCATAAGAATCCTTAAGCCTGATTAGAAAAAAAAACTTAAGATTCCATAATGACAATAAAGAAAATAATGGAAAAAATAAAATCAATAAAATCAAATTAATGAGGAATCATTAAATAAATACAAGAATACAATAGTTATTTCATAAACCACCTGCTAATATCTTACACTGTTTAGTGTTTGATAATGATTCTAAATTTAAGTTAGGTAATGGTAAATGCGATAATTTGATCAATATCTCGATATTAATATTATTTGTATGGTTAAGTATGGTCTTCGTTACATGAACTGTAAATGACTATGAACTGAAAAACTTGTGGAAAAGGTATAGTTATCTAATTAATTGTTGTAATGGACTCCACTTATCTCACAACAAGATTTTGCTTGGGCGTAGGGAGTAGGAGGAACCACTTGTAAATGCAAATATTTAATGTCATAAAGTCGTATTTAGTCGAATTAAATTAATAATTCCACTACATGCAAGCTAACTCGGTCGACTTCGCTCAACAGGGGTGAGCACGTGCATGTTTCTGTACATTTCCGAAATAACACCAGCCAACCTACGACCGCTGTACATAACACTGGTAACCATGACCGTGGGCCTGGGCATGATGGGGGAATGCATATTGGCCATGTTCTTCCGCTGTCAAACCATATCCGGTATCATGTTCGGGTTGTGCGTAATCAATTTCCTGACGCTGTTCCTGGTGCCGGAACCGCCGATGTGGCTCAGGGCCAAGGGCCGGGTCACCGAGGCGGACGAAGTGGACAGGTGGCTAGACTTGGGTCACATGACGCACACGTCGGCCACCGCGATGTCTCCACCTGCTGCTGCTGTGGTCGAACGGCCAAACTTGGCCACGGCGGTGGACGCCAGCGTGCCCGCAGCGGCCGCGTCGACACCGTACTGGTCACTGTTCCTGCGGCGCAACGTGTGGATGCCGACGGTGATCACGCTGACGTTCTTCGTCTGCCAGCAAGGTAGCGGGGTGTACGTGCTGCTGTTCTACTCGATGGACGTGCTTCGGGACTGCAAGGTGCCGTGGGACAGCAACACCGTCTCGCTGTTCCTGTCCTTGGCCAGAGTGATGGGCGGCCTGGGTTTCGCGGCCATGCACCGCGTCCCGCGCCGGACACTCGTCATGGTTTCCGGCGGATGTATGGCCGTGTCGCTGCTCGTAGTCGTCGCCTACATGAGGATATTCACCGGCGTCCAAGACCCACCGTTCGCAATGACGCTCATCATCGCATTCGTCATGTTCATGTTCTTCGCCCTGCTGGCCATTCTGCCCATGCCTTGGATACTGTGCGGCGAGGTGTTCCCGATGGCGGTAAAAGGTAACGATGATCGTGAATAAATCACCAGCTGCAGGGCCGTATTTAGGGGGGGGAGGAATTGGGACGTTTGCCCCAGGTGGCCAAATATTGATCTGTTTAGGGGGGGGGGGCGGGCACCGCTGTAGCCCGGTGTAATATTGTATCAATAAATATTTTTTGTTTTAGTAATGAATTTGTACTATGATACGGCCATAATTTGATGGTGTCACTTGTCAATCAACGATAAACTGATAAGTGCTAGCATAGAAATATGGAATATAATTATTTTAACATAACCACTGTAGTAGATAGCCAACCATGACATAACCATAAAGGATTATAACTAAAAAAGTGTTAAGAAAAATCAAAAAAGTGTGTCTATGTTTTGGTGGGGGAAGAGGAGGGGGCGTAAAAATATGGTTGATCCCAGGGAGCAAAAATTTTAAATACAGCCCTGACCAGCTTCAATTGTTCTTCGATTTGTCCGATATATTTAGAATAACATAAGTTGATAGAAAGAATGAAAAAATTGGCCATAACGAGGAGAGTAAAGTTGAGTTATGTTTGCCATGCAGTGCTAAAGTCGTCCGGAAGCCGGGCGTAGTTGTTACAGCCACGGTTGAAGATATTATGCAGGTTACTCGCCAGAGTATTTTTTTGATTCCAAGAGTTCACTTCGATTTCGGTCAATGAGAAGGCAGTTAAAGTTGCTCGAATATTTACAACAATAAAATGTTCCGTACACAATTAAGCCATGCACCGATTGTTTCAAAAAATGATCTCATGTTGTATTTCATTAAATGTACATTGCATATATTATACATAACCTACTATGCTTTAGATTCATTTGACTAATTTAAAGTTTTTATAATTATTGTTTCCACATTTTTTTCAGGTGTTATGAACGGAGTTGTACAGACATGTGGATATATTATGTGGTTCATGATTTGCAAAGTATATCCATCGCTGATCTCAAATTTAGGAGTAGAAATCGTTTGGTCAATATTCGCTTTCTTCTGTATATTAAACGTGTTATTTGCTATATTTATTATGCCCGAAACTAAGGGAAAAACTCTAGACGAAGTCTTGTTGTATTTCGAACCAGAGAAGAGAGTTAAGAAAGTCATCATTCCTTAAGACTACCTACGTTAATTTATCCACTTATGGAAACCGAACATTTTTATTATATTTTTTTATTGTAGTATTTAAGCATCGATACATAGATGTCGTTTTATTTATAATATACTATGTTATTATTAGTTATACTAATATTTTATTACCCATGTTGATGAAATATTTGTCAAATGATTAATAATTGCAAATCAACATCAGCTGTGACATTCAGTGATTCAAATCTTAATAGAATATAATATTATAATTTTTGTTGCCTCTAAAACTGTGCATGCACACTGTATATAAGATTATTGTTTATCATTAGGTAACTCAATTTTTTATTACATAAGCTTACTCACGTGGTATTAAATTGATATGTTTGTTTGTTCAATTAACAAAAAAACTAATTTGATATAATATACAGCGTAAGGAGTGTTACTTAATTTCCTTTTTATCTTTAATCTCAATTACTTAAGCTATTTTCAAAGACTATTTATACACTTTTAATGTCTTATTAATTATTTGTATATTTGAAGAGCTTCAATTAATACAATTTTCTATCAAGACTGAGACATGCATTTCGCGGTCAAAGCCCAAACACCAGATATTGAAATACAATTGACTAACGATTGGCCCCAGCAACAAACAGACAATTCACAACATTTCTGAAATTGACTTTTGCATTTGAAAACGATTTCGTTGAGGGAAATATTTTTATATTGATACACCAACCATACAAATCTGATTACTATATTCCGTAAGAATAAATGGGATAACGAATTTCGAAATGGCCACCCTGAAAATGTTCAAAATGTGGACTCTGGTTGTTACAAGGAACCTTTCAGTTATGAGTGTTTTTAGATCTTGATTAGGTTTTTTTTTAACTTTCAAAATTGTCATCAAACGTATAATATCCACTGTGGTAGTAAAAACTGTAATTGTTTGATTTATTTTCTCGTATTGAGTTTGATATGTGACTATCTGCACCAATAGTGTTTATGTGATCAAAATCATTAGCTGTATAAATTATGTTTTTTATGAAATGTTATTATGTATTCATATTAATTAATAAACTAACATAGTTTATTGTAAACTGTACCTAATGTATACCTGTATTTATACCTAATATTTTTATTATTCGTGATTTGATTTGTGAGAATTTCACAAAATAATAACTTCTTTTTCACAGTGTCTTCGCTGACCTAACACGGACTAGTCAGAAGTTTCCATAACAATATAAATTCTATAAAAACTATCTGGATTTGGTAGGAATTACTTATTTAAAATAATTCCGTAATAGATTATAGTGTGTACTTCAATACTCTATTCTTACCTAGTACTTACGTATTTATTTTGGTTTGAATGTTAGCCGATAAATTTCGTTCATCGGAAGGATAGAGGTAGGTATATAACATTGTTTGGTAAATATCCTAAACAAAAACTATCTGAGACTTTAGAGAGTAAATACTTAGTTTGCAGCTCAATCCATGGATTTCACACGGTTGGAATTTAACTTCATACACACATCCAAGGCTGGGCAAGTTAATGATATTTTTTAACTCAGTGAAGTTAAGTTAAATTAAAATCTAAATCAAGTTAATAGTTAAAAGTTAATTCAAAATGTTCTATCAATTAAACTAAGTTAAGAGTTAACTAAAATGTAATATTAACTTTTTAACTCAAGTTAAGTTAAAAAAAGTTTTTTTGTTTTCATATAGGAAAAATTAAAATATTCGTACCTAAAATTTTTCATGTTATTACACCAAAGAACTATTATTATTTTATGTGTTCAAAAAGCTAACAGTACTATACGGAAAATGTAGACTGATACCAGATTGTACAAACTCGAAAATGGTCGCGTTAGTTTAACCTAACCGCGTCTTTATATTTTAGTCGAAGTCGAAGTATAGGCTAGTACAATACTGAGTAGCGTATTTATTTTTATACCCATACAGTGATTACTGAATACTGAAGACTTATTAGTAGTTATTACTTATTACTAATACACGATAATTAGCTGTAGGCCTGTATGGGTAGTTAGATTATCAATAAGACAAGAACACGAACCGCGATTAAAGATATTTTTCATTTTTTCATCGTGACACGGACTAATATAATATTATAATAAAACCTGGAAATGACAGTATTAGTAGTTGTAACAGATATGTAATAATATGTATCGATATCGAATATAGAAACATGGTTTTACCACCACTAGTCACTAGGCGTCCATGCGGGAATTCTAGATTTCGGTGAAATCGACGAAAACGTCGAACTAATAATAAATTATACAAAAATAAACGGGGTATTACACTATTGCCACATAACAGTCTAGTCCGTCTAGCGTTATCTTCTATATAGATATTAATTCTTAATAATAAGTATAATATAATAATAATAATGTATAAAACAAATATAATATTACCAAAATAGTTTATAATAATTCATAGGAATATCTGTAGCTATAAGTTATAACCACCAACTGGCGACGATGGCAAAATAACAGGCATTGATAATATTCGTAATTTCATAATATAAGTATTTAAATTTTACACGAATTAAAAAAATTGAAAACACATAACATAATAATTAAAATTAAAATTAACTTAACTTGTTTAAATGTAAAATTAACTCAAGTTAATTCAAAGTTAATTTAAATGCTCCTAAAGTTATTAATTAAGTTAATAAACATAAAAAAAAAATAACTTAACTTTAACTTATTAACGCGTTAATGCCCAGCCTTGCACACATCCTTTTCTTCTTAACTATGAGATTTAAGAACTTGATTAATAGAAAAGGGCTTATCAGGTAAATTCAAGATATAAAACTACAAAAATATATAATAAAATTAAAATACGATGTATCTTATAGTATATAAAATTCATCGTTCACAATGTTTGTTATTGAACTCCTTCGAAACAGCTTGTCAAATTTTAATGACATTTTTCATGTACATTTAGTAGGTCATAGGCTATTTTTAAAGCCCTAGATATTAAGGTAGCCTTTTAATATTTGTCTCTATTTAATCCCTATTTCCCTTGGTCAAGGTATCAGGCGTAAACTGCTGGACCGATTAAGCTAATTCTCAGAAAAAGGTTCTCATGGAAGAAAAAATTAAGAAAAATTAGTTATTAATTTAAATAAAAGTGTAAATTGTATACCTATATACATATTGTACAGCACGGCGGCCCGAGAGTTTCCAGCAACTTGTAACCTGACCTTTTTGTTCGTCAAATTATGTGTTCCAAGCAGGTGGATTGCCTACCTGATAGTATAATGCTCATATTATCACAAGCGTGTCTCGTATAAAGTTGGCATTTTTAAAAGGCAACGAAGTGCACGGAATCAACTAGTATATTAGTATATAATATATATATATTAATTAATTAATTTTAACCGTACAATTACAAGAGGGTTGAAAAGTATGAGGTGGGTTATACACAAGAAATGTACAACTAAAGTATTCAAGAAGGGTGTTAACTTTTTAGAAATAGACCATTAAGTAAACTTTTTAAAAAAATCTAGTTTTTCATATTCTGCATTTTATTTTCAACACAGCAGAAAGTTTTAGGAAATATCATTTTTTTTATGATTTTTATACTAATTAAGTTATTGATAAATGATAATTCTAATAATGTCGGAAAAAAAATTGTCAACTACATTGTACGAAATAAAGTGTGATCATGATTGACTATTGACAAATTGTTCATGAAAACAGAAAATAATAATATTTTACTAGAGATAATGAAAATTTAGTTTTAGTCTTTAGGACAATAAGTGGACATTAAAACAAAAGAAAATAATATGTAACATATTTTCATTTTACCAATAGACAGTAAAAATGTTTCCTTTATTAATAAAACATTTGAAAAATATCTTTAACACAACCATGTACCTATATTGCCTATACATGACGCCGTCATTACCTTTTATGCTGAAATAAGACTTTAAAGCGTCATGGAAATTTTAGATTTATTTATATTTATTTATACTTACAAGTTACAAACATCAATATAAATTGAAAATAGCATACTAAAAAAAATATAGATTTTGATATTGCTTTGAGATTTCATATAATTATTTCATTTAGTCAATAATTATAAAATGAGTATTTAAAAAATAAACAACATTTTTAGTTTTTTACACATTAATAATATTATATGTTATTATTTTTCCATATTTTTGATTCTTATTAATACTTTGCTAATAAATAATTATGTTATTATATATTTACCCATTCCATAAAATGGGCAAAAGTAGTTGTACGTAGGGTTGCCTCCTTTGAAAGAAAGCAGCCCCGGAGATAGGCCGATAAGCAAAAAAAAAGGTCATCAGCTAGACGCTAGTATACACACCAGTACGTGGTAGTATAATCTAAAATCTATAGCTTAGTTGAAGTGAAATGATAAGTAATGAAATGCAAACAAAAAAATATTTATATAATCAGTAATCACATATTTTATCATTCAAAATTACAAATTATACTATAAAAATATAATTAAAAATCCCAAACAAGAAAAATTATTTAAATTTAAAATCATACTTAACATTATTTGTTGCACATTTTAATAATTGTTACCGGAAACTAATAAAAAAAAAGGCATAATAATAAAAACATGTCTATTTAAGACTATAAATCGTAGGTTATCTTATCTTTATCTCCGACCCGGAGAAAAATTCTCTGAACCCGGAGCCCGTAGATTTATACGTAAACCCGGATTCTCCGGGTGAAACCCGGAGAGGTGGCAACCCTAGTTATACGTTGCACATTCCAGGGACTGGGTACATTCCCCACGTTCGGGGAGTAACATAAATATTTTACAATGATTATTATTTTATTATAAATCATCGATTTAATTTTTTTTTAATTTCAATACAAATTTATGGTTGATAATTTGATAACAAAAAAAATCAATTTTGATATTACTTCTGATATCTTGGAGAATTTTTACGATTTGTATCGATATTTAAAATTGATTATGAAATTAATTTTGTGCCCTAGATTTTATTTCACAGCATCGGCGAGTTTACTTGAGCGAGATACTTGCACCCATTCTCGAACGTTAATCAATTTTATCAACGAAACAGAACTGCGTCATCTCATCTAAAATTATTAGGTACCTAAGAAAACAATGTACATATATAAATATATTTAGTAATTAAGTAATTTAGTGAAAATTAATTTAATGTAAATTCTGTATGTTAAAACCTTGTTGTTGATGACTCTAACAGTTTATAAAAATAAAAATATATATATTGTATGGAGAACTCTGTAAAAATTAAATCTTATATTATTGCAAACTTAAATTGAGAACTTGAAAATATTAACTTTTCCAAATCATAATTAAAATAAAAATTACGTGTTTCGTACGATCTACAAACATATTTCCACTGAGTTCAAAATTTCAAATATTGTTTTGAGAATCGAAATCGGACAACGTTAACCAACTTTAATTTTGTCAAAACAATAAGTAAGTTGTCCGAAAATTCGTATACTGAATGGTCTATAATGTATATAATGGACACTTGTTTGTTATAACGGACACTTCTGGTGTTTCTTTGATGGTACGTTATATTTGGTTTTACTGTAATAGTAATACAGGGTGCACACAATACAATTACAGGGAATAAGAAATATTTTCAATGATAAAACTGCTGGTTCTGCTGTATATAGTTTGCATATTATGCAATCAAAAATAAAATCAAGGTAACGTTAAACGAGTATTCAATGTAGTATAGATGCAAAAAAAACACAATGCCATGCGCACTCGAACTAGGACGAAAACCCGGTTCGTGTTGAGCATAGCTCTTATTTCTTATGTATTTAATATGATTTTGATCATACTTAGGTAATACTAAGTACTTACTCAATATATCTTACCTGAAAACCTCAGTAAAATATCAAAAATATCAATTGCCTAGATTATATGATTGAAAAAGCTAACATGGAAAATTATAGGTTACTTTTGGCTCAAGTTTTGGTTTTTTATCATGGTTCGATTTTTTTTGCTGATTCATAATATTGTTTTGTTGATAATAAATCAAAATCAATTAATTTTTAAGAGCTTACTTAACTCAAATAAAGGGAACTACATGTGTCAAGATAGATTTTTCTGGGCTGCTTTTATAATATAATTTTACAAAAATTACAAAATCAGACGATTTGTGGGCTTTGTTTTATTCTCTAGATAAAAAAAATATATTTTTATCTTGATCTGCATCTAAGTATTTTTTTATAAAATTATCTTTATGTTATCTAGATATTTTCTTTTATCTGAGCTCCGCACATGCTACTTTTAGCCTTCTAAGCAAGGTTTAACTTCAAACATTAACGAGTTAATAAGTAAAGTTAATTTAATTTTTGTTGATGATTATTAACTAAATTATTAACTTTGGGAGCTTTTGAATTAACTTTTAATCAACTTGAGTTAATTTTATGTTCGTAAAAGTTAAGTTAATTTCAATTCTAATTATTATGTAATATATGTTTTCAAATTCGTACAAAATATAATTACTCGCCTACATTATGAAATTACTAATATTATCAATGCCCGTTATATCTATTTTATTATTATAAAATTGAAAATAATGAACAATGAATACAATTTCAAATGTGTATGCATATGAATTTTTTTTATTCATTAAAAGTATTCTTTTTTTGAAAATTATATGAACTATTGAAGGAATACAAATTGCTGGTGCACATTTATAAGTCATAAGCATGTTAAACAAATTTGTACCGTTACCTTTTGAAACACTTAAAATAATTATAGTTTTTTGGTCTAATAACATAAACAATTTTAGGTACCGATTATTTTTATTTTACCTATATGAAAACAAGGCATTTTTTTTAACTAACTTATCTTGAGTTACTGAAAATTGCAGTACCTAATAAAAATAAGTACTCCACAAACTATTATATTATACAATTTCTCAGGTTTTCCATTTTTAGTATTTTTTAAATGTTTTTTTATTTTCTAAAAAGAAAAATATTTTTGTTTGTCGGTAGTAATTGTTGAAGACAATTTAACCCACTCATGAAATTACTTTTTCGATAAATGGATCAAAATGTTCTTTAGGAAAAAACGTTCTCAAATAATCAAAATGTCCTCACAATTTGATCTTTTTGGGGATCTTTATGGACCTAAATATCAAGTTACCTTTTAATTATGTAGTATTGTTTATCCATTATTTAACGAGAAACCGAGAAAGCTATTATTATATTTCATCGGTATTTCTTAGTCTTCTGCACCCTATAACTACGTTTCTCAACCCCCCCAACCCCACATTTAAGAAATTAAAATTGTTTTACGCAAATAATATTTAGCATGCAATAAGTGTAGTATTTAGACCTACGAAATGTCATGTGGTCTGCTATAAATTGAACAGGTCGCCAATCACGAGCCGAAACCACAGATCGGAGCTGAGTGGATTTATACAACTCATGTGGGACGATTAATACTGAATAGTAAGACCAAAAACACGTTATGAGGTAAATAAGTTCTCACTAACCTAAGCCGACAAGCATAAAAATCGGACAAAAGAAGTAAAAAAATTAATTAGTGGATACACCAATAATACACCTATACACATAGAATGTACAAAATCAATGAAATATACCTCCTACCGGCCCCTCTGGACCACGGTTACCGGGAGTATAATATGATGATAATAATAATAATAATGCGGTTGCAAAATACAAGGATACTGGCCAAGGTGTATTGAAAAGAAATCATTACAAAAGGGGCACATTTTCAGCCACACGATGTGATCCTACCATGCCACCCGAGTGACAAAATCGGGGCTCTACCCCTCTATGCTGTGGTGCTAAGGGTGGGTTACATAGAATTGTCGTCGCCCGCCGGTTTATTCAGTCGCAAACACACGTAAAGACGACGCAGGCAGTTGGACTTAAAGAGATATAGAGCATCATAGAAAGTATCAATGGGCTGATATTCTCATAAGGGCATGGTGCCCAGGTGCACCCACAAACAAAATTTGTATTTTAAGGTCAATGTACCAATTACGTTTGTATTCAAATTTCCCTACCAGCTACCTTCAGATATGAAAATATTGTTGTTTGATCTAATCCTATCGACATCAACATAAACAATCTACGCACTAAAATGCTTGAAAATTAAAAACTTATTCATTGATCAGTTGATTACTGGTTAAAGTGAACGATGGTTATAATATATTTGCATATTAAACATGATTGATTCATTTCCCATCCGAATATTTTTGTCTTTATAAAAGCAATAATCGAAACACAGACAAGCACGTATATTGCCATAAATAGTACATAACAAGATAAATATATTTCAAGTATAGCATATTATACAACAAAATTAATAATCAATTCTATTATTGTGGAATACAAATCTGACGAAACTATCAGAAAAGAATTCTATGGAATAAAAAATAAATAAATTGGATGATATAATTCAAAATTGAATTAATTCAATAAATAAAGCAAAGTTGAAAAAAAAGTGTAAAATCTAATTTTTTTTCAAATCGGTCTTTTTTGTCAATTGGAGTGGTTTTTTATGTTTTTAAAAGTTTATTAAGTTAAGTTATTAAGTTTTATTATTTTAAAGTTGAGCTTTTGGTGTGTAGTTGGCAGCATAAAAGTGTCTAAGGCTCTAACGGCAAAGGCTCTATCGGTTATGTTTAGAGGGGCTAGAGGAACATTTCTCCTGCCCCCTCCCCTTCACCATGGATATTTTTAGATTTGACGCACAGTCTAAAAGCGTGCAAATTACGAAAATTGCATGCTGAATATTTGCATAAAATAATGTAATTTTCTAAATGTGGGGGGGGGGCTAGAGAAACCCACGTCACACTGTGTCAAAGATTGTATAATTACTGAATTACAATGTTTTCGATTTTCACACATTTACACATCGTGATCAGAATATTCTCACGTAGGTCTAATCAAGTGGGATTACTGATAACCAATTCAATTTGTATAGGTGTAGATAAATAATATTTTAATGACTACAAATGTTTGGTTATGATTTCGTTACATTTAAGTGTGAGGTCGATTCCTACGTGTTGACATCTATTAGTCTTAATCTAGACTAAAATCAATCCGTGAACATATCCCATAATATTACGTAGTTGTAAAAACATGAGTCAATTGTTTATTATTAAAAAATAATTAATTTTTTTTTTTGGAAATTGAAACATCGAAAATTAAAATGTTATTTTAAAACTTGCGGGTATAAACAACAACAAAATGATACATTTGTACAGTTATAACTTATAATATACCAACCCACAGTGTTGGCAGATATCTAGATAAATGTATCTGGATAAAAATTATTTATGTCAACATTTCAAGTATCTACGGTCATTAGTTTTCCGGGTCTGGTCGTGAAAGCACATGACGTGCTAGAAAAATTGGCACAGGAAAAAGTTTGGAAATCGTATTATTTCACTTTTTCGGGGGGTTGGGGAAATGCACAAAAACGAAAAAGCGACTTGTAGGACGGGGGAATGACGTGAAACATTTCTCCAGCCCCCGTGGATATTTTTAGATTTTACGCTCAATCTAAAAGCGTGCAAATTTATGCTGATTACATGCTAAATATTTGCATGAAAAAATTATAATTTCCTATATTAGGGGGGGGGGGGGTAGAAAAACGTACGTCACCCTGTATTAAAGGTCATATTACAATTACTGAATTACAATGTTTTCGATGTTTACACGTCATCGTGATCAGAATATGCTCACGTGGGCCTAATGAAGTGGTCTTACTGATAACCAATTCAATTGGTATAGGTACAGATAAATATTATTTTGTTGACTACAAATGTATGGTTATGTTTCGTTACATTTGAGTGTGAGGTCGATTCCTACGTGTTAACATCTATTAGTTTTAATATAAACTAAAATCAATTAGTGAATATCTGTAATGTTAGTTGTGATAACACGAATTAATTGTTTACTATTCACAATTTTTTGTTTTATTTATTTTTTAGAAATATGAAGCATCGAAAATTAAAATGTCATTTAAAACTTGTGGGTATAAACAACAATAAATTGATGTATTTTTATAGTTATAATAAGTGTTGGGAAATATCGAGATAAAAATCATTTATCTTTTACCTTATCTGGATAAATTTCAGCTAAGTTTTATTTATTTTTATCCGGATCGAATTCTAGTTTTATATGAGTTCATATCTAGATGATTTATTTTAATGGACTTACAAAAAAATGTTTTGATATCATTTATATTCACGTCGTTTTCTATAAACCGTACACCTACAGTACACGGGAAACAAACGTTTGGTAAAATGTATTATTGTACCATGTATTTCAATATGAATCATTTGATTTGTATAAATGTTTGTATTTCATTAAAAATCTGGAATCGTACATCTTAAATATTGAAAAGGCTTAAAGATATAAAATTGAAAAAATACAATGTTGTGTAGGAACTACTCACTAGTAAGAGTAACTAATAGTAGCAAAAGCCAAAACGTCCATCCCTGCTACCCGTTTGACGATGGTCGTCTACATTAGCTGATACCCGTTTCATAGAATTGTGTGTATAAAATGTAAACTAATGATTATTATCATTGAGAGGACGTTATACCAGCATGTGTTGTCTCCGTCTTACAAGTGGTTAAAATGTATTCTCGGCAGATCGCGTTTAGCTTCGTTAGCTTAAAAATTAGAGTGAATTGACCTTTTATACAATTTAAAGGTAAGATTATAATTTGGACGACCTAGTGAGCTTTTTATTATTTTTTAATTTTGAAGCGAGTTAAAAGTATTTTAAGATGTACGAACAATAGTTGACGGTTTAAAAACACTTTTAACTCTCTTCAAAATTAAAATATAATAAAAAAAAAACCCATGGGCCATCACGGTATCGTCTAAATAATAATCATACCTTTACATTTTATTAGAAGAAAATTCGTGCTAATTTTAAAACTAACGGAGCCAAAGTCGATCTGCGGAGAGTAAAATTTGCTATGTTACACCCTTGCAAGACGGAGACAACACATACGGGTTTGACGTCCTCTTAATACTTACTGCGTAGAACCTAACAAAACAACAGTTTATTATTTTTGTTCGTCAAAGGTAAACTTTTTTGTATTATTATTTATGAAGTGAAAGAATACATTTTTTTCCTTACATCTTTTCTTTCTGTCATTTCAAAAATAAACTATATTGTTATTGAAACGTTTTAAATTAAGTGATTTTGTTTTTAACAACATTAAACAAGAAATTATCGGATATTTATCCATATATGTTAATTTATTAATGTATATCTTTATCTAGATAAATCATTAGTTATCTATTCCCAACACTGCCTACCTTTTGAGGTCTATGTTTTCGGGATGATATTGAAATTGCATAATATTATTATCGTCTTGCTTTACATTTTGTGGCACATTTAGATATACTGTTCCACCATGATGTGCTTCACTCAATTTATGATTGGTTGTTTGTATACATTTTCATCTACACTTGTGGCACAACTTCGAGAATCTTCGTCAACAATACAATTGAGTGTCGAAGAGGAATCTTGGATAAGTATGTGGATTATTGGACGTTTATCATAATAATATTATTACAATGGGCACCTACTACGTACCTTTATAAAATATTTTATATTTTTAAATCACTGTAGCGCCGGGTATTTGAGTAGAATTAAATTTAAAAATGTATTCAAATACTTTAAGTATTTAAAGTACTTCGAGTACTTTAATATTGGTTTATTATCGACAATAGTTTTGGAATCGTGAAGTAGGTTTCTGCTATACCGCATAGAATATATTAACAAAATATATGCACTCTTTGCAATTGTAAGTTGTGAGCCAGGTAAGTACTGTGGTATATGGTATAATGTTAGCTAATACCCCTAGCAACTGACTCTGATAAATGTAATACAGCCGAGACGCTATAACTCGAAAATGTTGACGACATGATTTTTTTTCATTCCCCGAGAAATTGGTTAACTTAAATTCGAGTTCTAAAATCTTGAAGCGATTTTTTTATCTCCTTCCAACTTCGAGTTATTGCCACTCGACTCTCAGTATTAAATCGTGTACTTATATCAATAGGCGCCAAAATAACTCTAGAAGTCTAGACCAATATAAATTTATTAAAATGAAATTTAATTACTATCCGACATCCCTATTTTAAATATCTAATTTTTGCACAAATCTGTGTCTTGTATTTTTAATTTAATTTATTAACTGAATATTTATATTCTAAGTAGAGCGATGTACGTAATGTTCATATGTGCAATGACAAATGTGTAGCAGTTTTTTTTTATCGTAGCTTTTTCGGGCTATAAAAATGTATGTATCCTAAGAGTGAATTCTTGGGGAAAATTTTATCTAGTTCTTATCTGAAAAACAGACATATTTAGTTTTTGAAAAAATTGATATTGTTATTTTATTATAATTCAAAAATGAATAACAGTGCCTACTGCCTATAATAGGTATTAAATAATATACCTTGATTCTTTTACAAAATATTGATATCATTATCATTTTCAAGACCTGCTATAATTTTGCTCTCTTTGAATTATTTATAGACTAGATACCCCGACAACTGGTAAAAAAAATACAATAAATCTAATTATTTAAAAAATTAAATCACACATATAAAATATATAAAAGATGTGTAACTAATCAATCTTTGAACTCTCAAACACTCTTAAGTATCTACTAAAGTACTGTCCATATCCATTTTAGGTAGGTAATCTATACATTATATATGTTATGAGATTATCGTTGGCCGAAAGATCTCTGTGACTTGCTACATCTAATAATAATTATACTTTTATCTTAATTTGCATAATCTATATTTTTCTTTTTTTAGCCATCCAAAATTGAAAATTCCCATTTGTTAAACTTGTTAATTTTACAGCAACTCTGCTAATTATAATAGTATGTTCTTTAAATTTATTAAGTACTGATTTGCTTATTTTTTATTTTTTTTCTCTTTTTAAATTTATTTTCATAGTTTATTATAGCTCTTGTCTCATACGGCGGCTTGTTATTTGTTATTGTTAATTTACTTGTAACTGTTTAGGTGTAATTATTGTATACTGGTATAGCTTTATAAAAAAAAAAATAATAAACATGTTAATTATAAAAATTATATTACTATATAGCTATCACAAAAAAATCACCTTCAATGGTTAGGTTTGGTTAGGTGAGGTATGATAATTATTATGTTTTGCCTGTTTGAGCTATCTCTGTATAATTTATTAAACACTCACTGCCTATAAGATGACCGTGTCTAAAATGCAATAACTAATCATAAACTTTAAAAAATACATTTTAAATATAAAATATGGATACCTAATTATTATCGTATTAGGTTTATTTATGCTCAGTACTGGTCGATTACATTTTATTTTTCTCGATATTTACAATTATTCTCAACTTTCTTATATCAACTTTAACTATTGTTTTTAAATCTTATCACACCTAGTGAATAAGTTTAGTTGGTATGTTATCCAAATTGTATATTGTTTAGGTACGATATGGTTATTTTAATTATTTTAAGAAAATGTTCATAATACAACAATATCATTGACCAAATTCTTATTTTTATTTCATCGAAATTCACATTAAATAGGCTAAAGGTACAACATACCTACGTCATTCTATGTCTTATGATTTTACTAACTAAAATGCTATTGATTTGTAATAAAAAAATGTTTACTATGTATTTCAGCTAGTATTACGGTACTCATATGTCCAGTCGGTTTATTCATAATTGGAATTCTAACGGATGCATTCGGTAGAGTCAAAACTGTTCAAATTATTTGCGCACCATTTGCTTTAGGTTGGCTAATAATTGCATTTGCTGACTCTTACACAGCACTATTAATTGGAAAAATTATACTTGGAATCCCGTTTGGTGAGTTTAACAATATGTTATTTCTATTAAAAATGTTTACTGATTATTAAACATAAAATAAGTCATTTGAAAACTGCACGAATACTATATTTCCATTATTATAAAACATGCATTAATCGTTCTGCGATGTTGAATTGTATGGTTTTTATCACTGATGGTTTATTTGAAAACGCTTAAGATTACAAAAACAATGGTTTCATTATTTATAGTTGATCTTGTCTAGAAACTTAATATTTTTACAATATTAAAATTACAATATCACAATATTAATATATATAAGAGTATAGTTTATGACCTTTTATCACGGTTTTATTAATATGTGGATTCGTGACACTTCGTTGCTTGTTTTAAAAACATTGAGTAAGATTATTATCTAGAGCACTTCATATCAACACTAGGGCGTTAATAAATATTTTTATTAAGGAGCAAGTCATGACCTTTTTGAAACTGTACATTTTTTGGTATCAAGTTGTAGGTATTCCTAACATAATTAGTCGAAATATAATAAATAATTCGGCTACCTAATGCCAACTAACTCAAACGGTTTCGCTCAACAGGTGTGAGCACGTGCATGTTTCTATATATTTCCGAACTATCCCCGGCCAACCTACGACCGCTGTACGTAACGCTGGTCCCCTTGACCGTGGGCCTGGGAATGATTTTGGAATGCATATTGGCCATATACTTCCGGTGGCAAACCATATCCAGTATCATGCTGGTGGTGAGCCTGATCAATTTCTTGTTGCTGTTCATGGTACCAGAACCGCCGATGTGGCTCAGGGCCAAGGGCCGGTCAGCCGAGGCGGACGAGGTGGACGAGTGGCTGGACTTGGGTCACATCACGACCGCTTCGGCCACCGAAGTGGCCGCGTCGGCTTATGTGGTCGAACGGTCGATGACGTTGGCCATGGCGTCGGACACCAACGTCCACGCCTCGCCCGAAGCGCCCAAGGAGACCACGGCGACGCCGTACTGGTCACTGTTCTTGCAGCGCAACGTGTGGATGCCGACGGTGATCACGCTGACGTTCTTCGTCTGCCAGCAAGGCAGCGGGGTATACGTGCTGCTGTTCTACTCAATGGACGTGGTCCGAGACTGCAAGATGCCGTGGGACAGCAACGCTGTTTCGCTGTTCCTGGCCTTTGCCCGGGTGATAGGCGTCCTGAGTTTCGCGGCGATGCACCGCGTCCCTCGCCGGACGCTAGTCATGGTTTCCGGCGGATGTATGGCCGTCTCGCTGCTCGTAGTCGTCGCCTACATGAAGGCATTCGCAGGCGTGCAGGATCCGCCGTTCGAGTTCACGCTCATCGTCGCGTTCGTAATGTTCATGTTCTTCGCCCTGCTGGGCATCCTGCCCATGCCTTGGATGCTGTGCGGCGAGGTTTTCCCGATGGCGGTGAAAGGTAATAATAATCACGATTAAATTACACAGTTTAATGATTGTTATTCGATTTTTACGATACAGAACATATAACATTATATCATAGATAGGTGAAAGAATGAGAAAGTAGGCATAGTGACAGGTTTTAGGGTAAAGTTTCCATTCGATAGATATCTTCGCCGTACAGAGTTGAAATCGTTTTGTTGTTAGCAGCTGATGCGGATCACTACATCCCCATTACACCGATTTTAGGGAAGTGATAAATACTTTTGACTATACATAAATAATTATTAGGATAAATTTATTTTATTCAGTGTGTGGTATCATCAGAACTAAGCTTCAAATTATGTTTGTCTTAAAATGCTCAGCTGTGTATATTAAAATCCTAGGTCATAGTTTTTTTTTTATTGGCATCGTTCTGCGCCAATTATTTTCGATTCACTGTTTAAGTCTTAATCACTATCTTTAATTTAAAAAAATGTTAAAATAATTAATTGTACCGTAGAGTGGCTACTTTACCAATCCTTTTCCCACCTAAATTTGTGTTCATTTGGGATCTTCAACAGGTAAGAAAATACGTGAACCCGTTTTCCTGCCCTCTTAGGCACATCGTGTATTGTACTAACAACGCAACAACTACGTATAACTAACTATGTGTAATAATGATATAATAATATGTAATACACAGGAGAACGGCACTAACAATCCTGAAAACGGGCGTCTCTCTAGCCAGTTCAAGTTAATCCTTCTTGCCCAAATTCATCTCTACCGTGGCCACGAACTCCTTCTTCTGACGCACAGCTTAATCCGATTAACCTATGTTTTTAATATATATATAGAGACATAAAATGTATCTAATTCAAAACACTTCAATGCTCTTGCCAACTATTGCATACGCTTTTAGTTTCAATAAATTACATAATATTATTTTAATACCCACCAAACTGTAATTATATGACTTATACAAACATAGACCATGTAACTATATTGTTACAGAATAAAAGGAATACTGTATTTTATTGAATGTACATTCTACATATTATTCCTTTCTACATGACCTACTATGCCTAAGATTAACATAAGATATTTGTTTTTTTGTACATATTATAATCGTATTTCTTTCAGGTGTTATGAATGGAGTTGTACAAACATGTGGATATGTTTTATGGTTTGTGATTTGCAAAATATATCCATCGCTAATCTTAGATTTAGGAGTGGAAATCGTTTGGTCGATATTAGCTTTCTTCTGTATATTAAACGTGTTGTTTGCCATATTTATTATGCCCGAAACTAAGGGGAAAACTCTAGACGAAGTCTTGTTGTATTTCGAACCAAAGAAGAAAATCAACATTCCGTAATCTACGTTAATTTATGTGTATCTGAAAACAGAATTTATTATTTATTATATATTTTGTTGTGGTTGTATTTAAGCATCGATGTATATAAGCGAGGCTGGGCATTAACGCGTTACTAAATTAAAGTTAAGTTAATTTTTTTTATTATAATTAGCTTAATTATCAATTTAAAGAGTGCAAAAAGTTGACTTTTACTTAACTGAGTCAATTTTGCATTCAAACAAATTAAGTTGATTTCAATTTCACTTATTATAATTTCATATTTTCATATAAAATATTATAAATACCTATAATAATTATTATGAAATTACGAACACGGAATATTATATTTTGCACTTTATTTTGCCCGTCGTCGTTAGTTGGTGATTGTAGCGGACTAGACTGTTTTTGATAATGCTGAGTTTATTTTAATACAATTTATTATTAATTCGACATTTCTTTTCAACAATTTATTTGAATATGTACTATTTCTATTTCGTATATTTATCTGAATAAGAATTCATATATGTATACAATTTTATTGTATTAACCAATTTGTTTGTTGACAATCTACTTTGACTTTTCTGTTTAAATAATTTAAAAATATATGATTTTTATATATCAATTAGACATACGTTATATTCTAAAATCGTATAAATGCTATAGTTTTTATTAAATAATATATTGTACTAACCATATACTTACTACTTTGTATATCAAAGAGATTAATAAGTGATTTAGAATTGTGTAGTCCAGAAAATGATAACGTCATCATTCCCCTTGAAATGAAATGTCCACCACAAACTGCTTGGCAGTACTCAGCTCTAGTAAAATTAATTTTATTTATTTAATAATTCTACTGTGAACAAATAACTAAAAATATTATGTACCTAATATGTAAACATATCATATGAGTACTAATTAAACATAAATAATTATAATTGATTTAATTTGTCTAAAATTATATTTCTGGTACATATGTTATAAGTTAAAATTGTATATTACACATAAAATACAAATAGATTTTTGCCGTAATTACACAAAAAATTGTAGGTATCATTTTAATTCTACCTACCTATATGAAAACAGATATTTTTTTTTAAATTGACTTTTGGTTAACTTCTAACTTAGTAGAATTGATGGAAAATTTTGAATTAACTTTTAATTGTTAATTTTATTTAGATTTGAATTTAACTTAACTTAGCTGAAAAATATCATTAACTTGTATAATAATATGTCGTTTAAATTATATTGAGTAATTATTAGTTATATTAATATTTTTACCTACATCGACGAAATATTTGCAAATTGTTTAATAATGGTAAATCAACATCTTTAAGTTGTAACATTTGGTGATTCAAATCTTAATGTCAAATCGTTTTTACATTTTTGGTGCCTCTGAAACTGTGCGTGTACACTTTATATAAATATAAGATTATTGTTTATCTATAGGTAATTCAATTATTTTATTACATAAGCTTACTCACGTGGTATGTAATTCATATGGATTTTTACTTTTTATCAATATCTTTTACGCTTATACGAATCGTATGTCTGTTAATTTAACAAAAAACGATTTGATATAATATTCAGCGCTTTATTAGTGTTATGTATTAATTTTCTTTTTGTCTTCTAATCTCAAATACTTGAATTATTATCAAAGACTATGTATATAGACATCTAATTGCATTGCCTTATTAATTATCTGTACAAAAAAGAGCTTCAAAAATACAATTTTTTTTAAGACTGAGACATGTATGTCTCAGTCAAAGCCCAATATCGTCAGCTATAGAAATATAATTGTTAATCAATAAATTTAGTCTGTTGTATATACTTAGTACACTTTAGCTAATGTTTATCGTATTTATATTTTTATGATTTGTAATTTGATTTGTGAAATAATAACATTTTTGTCACAATGTCTTACCTAACCTAACACTAACTAGTCTGCAGTGGTTGATCCTAATGAGTTAAATGTATTAAACATGTGGGTAAACAGTACGAAGTAAGTCCAGTAAGCAATGTTTTCAACTAACGTATTAAAAAATGTTTAACATTTTAGAAACAGACCGCTTGCATTTAGAACACCAACTTGAAAAAAAAGGAGTTTCTGAGACGAGAATTTCATCATAATAATAATATGCGTTTTGAAGTTTTACATAATGTGCGTTTATCGTTCTATGTCAATCACTGAATATATACATACTATATAATACTAGCTGATTCCGTGCACTTTGTGGACCGTTAAAAATGTCATCTCTACTAAAGAGACTTGATTGTGATAATGCGAGCAGTATATTATCAGGTAGGCTATCTACCAGCGGTAAACGTTGTCTTGCCATATAAATTATTTCGAATGAATATTTTTGTAAAATAACTTAAAAGTCCAAAATTATTGTGAGCTTGTGGGGATGTGGTATACTGGCATGTGATTGAAAGAGAAATGGAGTACTGTGAACGACGACGGCCTATAAAAATAACAAAATAACCAAATTTTCATTTTTTTCCCTAGTCCTCGCCGCCTGTAAAGTAAATCTGTAAAAATGTATGTGGTGCGTTTGGCATATCGGTTAGGTTGCCCTCAATGAGCCCACTTTGTGTTAAACTTGGCCTTTGATTTCAAAAGCGTTTTTCCGACATTTTTTTTCGCAAAAACCTTCTCCTGGCAATTGCGAACGGTTAAAAAAAATTGAGCCAAATCGGCGCAGCCGTCCTCAATTGACGAATTGTTTTACATTTTTGGCTCAATTTTTATAAATATGAAATGTATAATACATTGAGTGCATCTGCAGATTCTGTGGGTATACAATATTATATAAGTACCGAACGAATTTATAATTCGGTTTGCAATGGCGCACGACTAGTGGGAGAAAAAAGTCACGAACGTGCCGACCCTAAACGCGGTATAACACATTAACACAAAACGAACGTAATAATATAGGTAGGAAGGTAATATCACTAATATGTTATTATCGCGATACGCACGTTTTGTGTTTGTGACGTGGGCTTTCGTCGGTCCTTCGCAATAATAACTCTCTTTGTCCGTATTACTGCACTATAGATTATTATGGATTCTCGTATGTGATTACGTAATTTCGCCTTTGCGACGACCGTCGGTGTGTAGGGCTACATCTGTAGTATATAGTAGTAGTTGTAGTCTGTACGATTTAATTAAAGACGGCGCTAAATGGCGAAGTTTTGTCATCTCGCACGCGAGCGCATAACACAGTAATAATAATAATAATAATAATAATAATATATTATTATGTTAACAACACTGTTTTGTTATTCAACGTGGACTTATATGGCTATATTGCAATGTATATATATGCAATGTAATCATTTTAAGAAGTCGAAAAGAACTGTTAACGCTGAAACAATTACAACTGTTTGATTCGGCAAACGTGTGCGGTAACATGGTTTATCATTTTAAAAACGGTTTCGTTTTCGTATTCGTATTGTTTTTTATTTTACAATGGTTGTATTGCTTCAAATGATTAATGATGAAATGTATTCTCGTCTTCAATATACGGCTTTCTCGGCAGCCTTATTTTAGTCCATCTTCGTCGATAACTATTTTACCGGGGTTTGGCAATCGAAATTAAATTTTTTGATTTTCATTTCAAGTTTGATTTTTAAAATTAGTTTATTTTTCTGAATTAAATTTAAAAAAAAATAATAACTTATTTTATAATTAAATTATTTTTATAATTCTTTATGATTTTTTTTTTTCGAATCGAAATATCAGTTTTACATTTTTACTGTTTAAATATTTCGATTTTTTTAAGATCATGCAAAGTACAAACGTGCAGATGATCGTCTTTTGCGAGAACTGTTTACACGTCGTGAGGCGAGGCTGTGAAATGATCAAAAAAAACAAAGCTATGTACAAATGAACTGTATTATTAACATGCTGGTTATTTTGTTGAATTATAAATTTCAATGAAATGTTAAATAAATTTGTATAAAAACTAAAAAGGTTACGTCCCAACAGAGATGTCCAAGTTTTTGATCAATCCGTGAAATGTGAAGGCAGTTTGCACAGTTCACGGAATGAGCATAATATGTTGGGAACTATTTTTTCCCATATCACGACCTATATAATTACTAATAAAACTTACCCAATTCATGAAATATGCAATCATATGTGTTTTTAGGGTAATATCCAAGAGTAACTAGTAATTATAACTATTTAGATTCGTTTATTTGTCATTGTATTTCGATACTATTATAAATATGGATAAAATATGCGTATCTGGAAGTAATCTAAAATATTAAAGTGTTAAATAACTATTAAAATTTCGTTAAATAAAATAGTATACGCACTTATTATGGAGTTTTATTTCATTTTTTTTATTATTTAACATGACCTTATATGCATTGCTGAAATAACAAAAGTTTCAGTTGGCGATTGTGTCTATGTCTTTGTCTCACAATACTATGGATGTGATGACCAATGGAATATACTATCAAAGTGGTTATTTTAATATTAAATACGGAACTTAAAATGTTGGAACTAAAAATCTGGTGTGATAGAAAATCGAATGCGTCGAAATGCTTTGAAAAAACTTATTTTAAAAGGCTAATAGAAAAATACTTATATCTTAAGGCTAATTTGAAATGCAGTGTTAGTGAAATAGTAAAAACTCTATCCATAGGTTCAGGTCAAGGAAAATGCTTGAAAAATTTTAATTTTATAATCAATTATAAATAATTGAAATAATAAAAAATTATATTTATTTTGAATATTCAGGTTGAAAAAAAGTAGATGCAAATGTTCAAAAAATAGCTTCGAATGCAATCCTGCTTGTCATTCTTGTCGTACATGTGATAATCGTGATTAAATGTATGTACTTAAGTAAAACGGTTCATATTACATTCATAATTATTTATTCAGGTAAATAATTATAAAATAAGTATTTGAAAAAAACGACGTTTTTGGTTTTTTACTCATTTATAATACTATACGTTATTTTTTTCTTATTTTTGATTCTAATTATCCCATAGTAAATTATATTCTCGTATTATAATTACCCCACTTCATGAAATATGCCAAAGTAGTTGTAAATCACACAATTCAGGGACTGGGCACTTTCACCATATTTGGGGAGTAACATAAACATTATTAAATATTTTTAATATATATACAATGTTATTTTTGTTATACCTATGTAAAAAAGCCGATTGGCGTAAATTTATAAAATAAAATAAAAATAAAATAAATGACTATTATTTTATTATAGATCATTGATTTCATTTTTTTCGAATTTCGAATTTTTGTTAATAATGTGATAACAAAAAAATTCAATTTTTATACTACTTCTGATATGTTGAAGGATTTTTAACGATTTGTATCGATATTTAAAATCAATTATGAAATCAATTTCATTCCCTGTATTGTTTTTCACAGCACGGGCTAGTTTTCAGATAATATTATTACAAACATATGGTTGTATACGTTTTTACGGTATAAAACTGTGTAAATTATTATAAAATAGTTATAAATAAATGACAATTCAATGTTATAGGGTGGTTACTTGAGTCTTATTTATACTCAAAATAGTTTTAAATAAATGGTATTTCTATTAATACCTATTGATGTGTAGTAGCAACAAGTTGAACATTTTGTGAACGATATCGTACGAAACCTGAGCGATTATAATTATTGAAATTTAGCAAACAGTATATTACATCAGATAACAATAATATTACACTAGAGGTAATGCAAATTGACGTAAGGATTATGAATGTGCTTAGAACAAAACAAAATAATATTATATTATTATTTCACTAATTGAGAGTAAAAAAGTTCCCTTGATATTCTTGATACTAAACATTTGAAAAATACCTTCGGCGCAGTAATGAACCTATATTGCCTATACATAACGCCGTCAAAACCTATTTTGCTGAAACAAAACTGAGAAGCGCCACTGGAAATTCGTATTTATTTTAATTTATTAAAATGTACAAATAAACATTTTAATCCAGGTTTTCCTTGACGTCTTGTTTACTCCTTCTACAGACTAGTTGATGGCAACGTTACAATACATTTGATTTAATATACAAATAATAAATTATTACTACATGGCCAATATCTATATTTTCTGATTCTCCAGAGTGCACACTAGTAATTTAATTATATTTTTAATGAATAGTGATTGTATGATTTTGAAAGTGGTGAGAAATGCGCAAATTGCGTTTTATTTGTAGCTGGTCGAAATATTTGAAGTCCAAAAAGTCAAACAGAACCTAACTCAAATAAAATGTTCAAAATTCAATACCTAATCAATCCGAACTCCCCAAAAAAATTTGTACCATACGTTTCGAACAAAAAATATATTTTATATTTCGGTTGGACATAAAACCAAACAGTTTGATTGAACGTGGGTCTAAGCGGACACCTCTCTCGAACAGACAGTATAATTATGTCTTGAGAAAATGATAGGTATTCCAATGTACCTGTCTATGACAGGCACTATATTTATGGTCTCGTGAGTCGTGACTGTCCGTTATATTCGGGTTTCACTGTAATATTATACACGCACAAGTTACAATATGTTTATTACAAATTCATTAAAATTTTAATTTTAATCATACTAAGTTAATGCTAATATTTACAAAATTAATCTTAAATGAACTAATATCAAAAAAAAATCAATTTCCTCGGTTATAGATTCTATAATTGAAATAAATAATATTAATATGGAAAAAAATTACTCATTTTTGACTTGAAGCTTTAGTATATTATTGTGGTTTTCATCTTTCAACGCATCATGAAAAACTCCTAGAAATGAAACCAATTATTATTCTACTTAATGGCTTCTGAGTGTATTTCATTAGTCGTAGTATTTATTCGTCGATTTTGTTCACTGAGGCTAAATCACTCAAATTTGGCATGCTAACTTTATGTAAAGAATATCTTTTTAATAGTAACTGGTGTCAAGCTATATCTTTATCGGCAGTTTTTATAATATTAGCAAGAAAACTATGAAATCAGATGCCTACATCAGCACCCTGTATGGTTTGGAAGTTAAACTACGAGCCTGCAACTTTTAACATATTGGTATGTACCCGTTACAATTATATCATGGTTTATTTTTATTTTGTTTTTATTACTATTCATGTTGGATTTCAAGTGTGGACTCAATTATATTATAACTATAAATTATAAAAGTAAGATATTTATTTATTTATTTATTCAAAGTTAAATAAGCACTCATAAGTCATAAATAATAGGTAGTATGTTAATAACACCTACACTAAATGCCCTAATCAAAAATCCGCTATACTATTAAGTATTTTATATGCATAACGTATGTATTGCACCTGATGAAAAATGTATTTCCCAAATATTTTAATTAAAGTAACAATAATGAGCTATTCAAAAAAATTGTATTATGTTATAAAATTATATTTACCGAGAAATCCAGTACGTACGAGAATAGTAACGTCTGTGTTAACAATTTAAAATTAAATTAAATATTCTGTGTCGTTGAATTTTTGATTTCAGTATCAAAAAAAAATGGTGAAAATCAATTGAGCTCTGATAAAGTAAATTTAATTATGTTATTTTTATTTAGTGAAAATCAATAATTAAATTATAAAAGAAAATTGTGATTGTAAATTACATTTAAAAAAAAAAATGCAACTCTGACATAATATATTATAAAGAACGTTTTTTATATATATTCCTTAGAACCACACGTTTCTGGTTAGTTTAAAATTACATTTAATACAGTACAGCTAAATATGTGCCTGTGTACGATGATAATAACCAGGGCTCATAATTTCAAATATTTGCATATTTCTTTTGAAGGGACTCTAAAGATGTATATGTGAGTTATAAATTTGTTTTAGGTAACTAACCAAGATGTTAAATACGAAATTTTATTTTGCATATTTTTGCATGTTTCAAAGTTTAAATGCTATTTTGCTTTATCGAGTTTTATTCAGTACCTTCAGTAACCTTTAAAACATTTTTGCTTCATAATAACAAGTAATTACAGTATTATTAAATAATATTTTCTAACTATACGAGTTTAAGCGACATGCTCCGAATAGGCGACCCTCGACGTAGCGAGAGTGTAGGCGCGAAACTTAATAATCCCCTATAGATAAACCACTATAATTTTTGAAAATACAGCACTAGTATATTTTTATTTTTATAGTTTCTAGAAATTCCGATATCGTTATTTTATGTTTATTTTGAAAACAGAC